GAATAGAACTAGAAAATATTTAAAATTAGCTATAATTTTCTTAATTAAATTATTATATAAGTCTAGAATAAAAGAATCTCTTTTAAGTCTTATATTAATATATTTAATAAAGTATTAAAAGAATTATTAAAAAGAAAAAAAATAAAAATAAAAATTTAGTATCGAGAATTTATAAAGATATTATTTATTCTAATAAGAGATTATATTCTTAAAAATATAAATTTTAAGCCTATAAATACTTCTATTTATAAATATAGTAAAATATATAAAAAGATAATAATATTCTATTAATATAAAAAAAAAGAAATATTATTTTAATATTATTAATAACCTAGATATATTTAGATTCAGATAAGAATATTTAAATATAGTAATTTATAATATAGTTCCTAAATTAAAAAATAATAATTTTTTATTAGTTTCTTTTATTATATTTCCTAAAGCTATTATAGATATAAATAAAAAGAAAACCCAGCTTATAGCTAATTATATAAAACTTATTAAAAGTAGTAAACCTAAAGGAAATAATATTAACTAGCTAGTAAAAAGTCTAGAAAAACTATTTATTACTATTATAACTTAAGAGAACCTATAAAAATAACTTAATATAGCTATTATTATAATTCGAGAAAATATCTATAATTTATTTATATAATCTAGCTAATTATAATAAGAATAATAATATTAATAGCTTAATAAATATATTCGGGGTTTTAAAAAGAATATACTAGAAATTATAATAGAAGTTATAGAGGATATTATAATAGCTATAGTAATTAAACTAGAATAAATAAATAATCTAGATAATTATATTTTAGAAAAAGTTAATTTTAAATATAATTAGAGAATATTACTCAAATTAATATAGCCTATAATATAGATCCAGAACCGAGATAATAAATTTACTATAGGTATTATAATAGAAATAAGAATAATAATATTAATCTAAAATATATTTATATTTTTTAGTTATATTATCTATTAATAAAAGAGTTTATAAATTATAAATATATTTATTAATTTAATAGAAAATAGTATAAAAAGCTATTTGAGCCTAAATAAAAAAGTTTTTTTTTTCTTTATTAGTAAATACTAATGATTTAACTAAATTATTTTCTAAATTTAGAGAAAAAATTTAATTATAACTTGAAAGTATAATTTAAGAATATTCAGAAAGTAATAGAAGATATCTAGTTTACTAAATAAAAAAGAAATAAAGGAACTAGCTAACCAGAATCTATATATAAAAACAAGTAAATTATATTTAAGAAATCTAAATAGCCGCTTTGCTTTAAAGGAAATTATATTAGAATTATTAATATTTCAGGTTCTGGAATTAATAAATAATATTAAAATTTGGCTATAAATAGTATTTCTATTAATACTATAATAGGTTTCTTATTAAAAAGAAAAGAAAAAGAAATAGAAATAATTAAAGAAGTTTTCCAAAAATATATTAAAATAAAAAAAAGCTATTCTATATAAGAGGCTAAAAGAATATTATTCTAAGAAATAATAAATAAAAGAATAGTCTAGCTAAAAATATAAATATTAATACTTCCGGAAATAAATAAAATAAATTAGAAATCTAATATATCCTTAACTAAAATAAATATAGAATTTTTAAAGCAAATAATATTTTAATAAAATTACTAAAAAAAAGTAATTATTCTATTTCTAAAAACTTAAAAAAGAATAAGAATATTTATTAATACTTTAAAAATATTAGATCTAGCTATTATATTTTAAAACTAATAGATAAAGAATAATACTTTCTATTTTATTATTTTATTATTAGTATAGCTATAGTTATTAATAGTTATATAATATAGTTATATAATATAGAAATAACTAGAAATAATAGGATATAGGTAATAGGCAATAATTATATAATCTTATATTATATAAATAACTTGACTAGTAGACTAGACCTTATTAGGCTTAGTAGATTTAGGAATTATATATTAATATTATAATACTATAATTCTTACTTCTAAAATAATAATAACTTTACTAACTAATATAACTAGTATTTCTATACCTATATAATAGTATTATATATTACTAGTAAACCGACATTTATAAATAAGAAATACTATTATATTAAATATAGTTAAATATATTAGAAGATCTATAAAACTAGTAGCTATAGCTTATATAATAAATAGAATATTTAAGGAATTAGAAATACTAGCTCAAATATTAAATACTAATAGAATTATTTAATTTAAAAGTAATAGTATTAATATTCGAATATTACTAATTTATAAATATATTATATAATTTCTATACATTTAATATATATTTCGAGAATAATAAGAGAATATTAAATATAAAGAAATAATTAATACTAGAGCTAAAATTAATATTCTTTCTAAAAAGATTTCTAGAAATATTAATAAAGTAGTATATAATATTATAAATTACTAAATATCTATTATTATTAGAACTAAATTTGGATTTATAGAAATAGTAAAGCTTAAAGCTAAGATTATAAATAGAATAAAATATAAAGATATATTATTCCTAATTAAAAAAGCTTTAAAGATCCTATTTAGTTAATTATTCTTAATAAAAATAAAAACAAAAATTATATATAAAAGTAATAGTTTATAAAATAGAAGATTTACTAATCCTAAAAATAACTAGAATACTTATATTATTATAATTATTTTATTTTTAAAGAATACTAAAAAGTAAAAGAAAATAATAGTTTAAAAATATTAAGCTTCTAGAATTAAGGAATTAAGTAATATAAAATAGGAAACTAAAAATAAAAATAAAAAATAGAGCCTAATATTATAACTAGTAATAATATTAAAAGAAATAAAAAAACGCTGGGATTTCCTATAGATTTTTTTATTTTTGGTTTAGAAATTCAGGAAATTAATAATATTTTTAGAGAAACTAAAATAGAAATGTTTCTAGTTAAAGTATTATTAAAAGTAGTTCCGGATTTAATAAAAATATAAAAAAAGAATATTAAATAAAAACATTTCTAAAAAAATTTAAAAAAAAAGTATTTTCTAATAATAAAGAAATATATTTCCGAAGCTATAGAACCTGGAATCCAAAACTAGAAAAAATTCTGGAATATATAAAAGCTTAAGAAAAACACTTTAAGATATTAGATAAAAAGAAACTAAATAAAAAAGTTATAAACCTTAGAGATTAGATAAAAATAGTATTAGAAAAAATAGTTATAGCTTTTAAAAAAAAATTATAATTTATTTCTAGTTATAAGAGTATATAAAATAAAGAATAAAAAGATTTAATTAATAAATACTAATAATAGAACTAGAAAAGATTCTAGTAAATATCCGAACTAGTTTAAGAGATTTAAAGCTAGAGAATATTTATAGAAATATACTAGAAAATATAAGAATTACTTTTTATTATAAATATTAGCTATTTTAAGAGATTTATAATTTATTCCGAAATGTCTTAAATAATTAAATATTAGAAACTGGTTCTAAAAAAAAGAAACTAGCTATATTCCGAGAATTAATAATTAATTAAGAAAATATAATTATATTTAATTAAAAAGAAATAGGAAAAGTTTATAAAAATATTAATTTATTTATTTTAATTAAAACTATTAAATATAAAACCTAGTAAAAGAAGAATTTCTTATATTCTAAAGCTCTAATACTAATAATAGTAAAAATACTATTAGAATATCTAAACTATAAAATCCTTAAAAAATATAATAGACCTTACTAGAATTTATAATTCTTAGTTACTAAAAAGATTACTAGAACTTATAGACTAATTAATACTATTATAAAAATGAATTTAGTAACTTTATAAAATACTAATCTATTTCTATTTACTAATAAGATCTCGAAGGAATTTATTAGATATATTTATATTTTTTTAATTAATTTCTTTTCCGGATATAATTAATTTATATTAGATACTTATAATAGAAATTTGACTATATTTATAATACTTCTAAAGCTACTAATTCTATTATATAATTTACCGTTATTATTAATATAGAGGATTAATGGATTCGTGGCAGCTTCAATGTCTGTATACCTATCGAGGTACGATTAACCCGCTACTACAGGAAGCTCATCTTTCGTTGTCCTATACCACACAAGCTTGCTGAAGCCAAGTACCCTGGCACAGTATATGAAAAGTGGAGCTCTGAGGTGGGAACGTATGCGTGGATACAATATTAATATCCCAACATTCGCATTCCACACTTATACGGCTTCGGCTTCTCTGACCGCCGCCATGTAAGCTACTACACATACCGCTTGATAGCTTCCGTACTAACCGTGTTACTGGTGTATAGTTTGTCCATGAGCAATAAAAACCTTTCTACATCCGCCTTTGGCGCATGTTCCAACGCCGTCTCCGCACTCTTCTTCGATGCCATACTCTCTCGCCCTATACCGCCCACCCAACGAGCTAACGACTTTCTACTACATATATGATACTTGAGTATATCGGTCCTAATACGGGCCAGATGCTCTCCAGCACGTGGGAGAAGCACCGGCATGACCCATTCCACAGGCAGAAGCTCTTCCGAGGCATGGCTCGCTTGACGCTTTCCTTGGCCAATATCCCTCAGCCTCGAATCGGCTCATTCCAGTTCCATACTGACGGAACGATAACGTTGACAAACCGACCGCTGCTTTGCTCTCTCATCATCTTAGAAAATGACGGTGCGCTGAGAACGATACAGAGGAACGAAACGTATACCTGTTTCTCATGGTTGGGGTTGGTAGAGTTACTGGAGTATCAGCGGGCGCTGTCTCCAGAGTTCTTTCCCCCTGAAGTGAAGAATTGGGAAGGGGTTTATAGTCCCTGCAGGCCTCGCCCACAGCAGCTATTTTTTCGCACCGTTTTGAAGTGGCTAGTGCAGGAACAGGAGGAGTCGAAAATGACTGCCGGACGTCGCACGGAATCGAGTTTGTTGGCTCTTGACCGCATCTAATCGTTCTCCAAAGGTCTCGAGCTGGTGGTCAACATCTGCAGAGAAGGATTGGCAGTAGCCGAAAAGGCCGTCCCAAGATTCCAGTGCAGAGTCATCTTCGCCTATCACTTCCAAAGCCTGTGTATTCCACTAGCAGGGACGAACTGTGCAGTTTTCCTGGGACGGACGATATAAATCCGGGGCTTGTCGGAGCTCGCGAATCTCGACTTGGTGAGACGATTGCCTCTGCCCCCGGGCACCGCGGTCGATTGTAAACGCTCTACAAATCCGTTATTCATATCGCCGGCCGCCTGTTTGGCCTTATCTAATCGTCTCTGTAGCTTTTGTCTAGCGGCTTTGGCTTTGTCCAGTCGACGCCACAGTGCGTCTTCCTCCTTCTCAGCCGTACGAAGCTCTCTCTTCAGCCGGCTATACCTTTCATTCCATTTTTTTGCCTTTTTATAGCCGCGAGCCTGAATTCTCCCTTTATAAGTCTTTTTAAGCTCGAGTTTCAACTTGATAATCAGTTCTCTCTTATTTGAGAGTCGGTCGTTAAGTCGAGCACAGAGTATTTTTATCTCAATCAGGGCATGTTGTAGCGCCTGAAGATTAGGGTTTAAACGGTCTAGATTGTTGTTATTCTCAAGTCTTGTAATTAGGAATCGACTTGACATTGGAATTTAAGAATAACTTACCTCGGTGGAGTATCTCCGTCGCTGTAGGTTCTTCGTCAACCTCACTAGCCGCTACATACTCCAGAAGTTCCTTCGCAACGGCAGCCGCTACGGCGGAAGCATATTCCTGACAATCCTTATTCTTATGAGAATCAGCATAGTCGCAAATTCCCCGGATGACCATGCAGGGGAAACTTGTTAGTACTCCGGCCGCTTCCATCTCGAAGCAAAGGACTTTGTAGTCGAGTCTTTTATTGATCTCGTCGCGGGAATCTGCTTCCCTAATAACTTGGTTTCCCGACGCGATTAGACCTTGGTGTATGAGCATCTCTCCTGGCGTCCTATCTTCTCTCTCTTCCCCTCCGTCATGAGTATCCCATACCCGGACCCGGATAGGAGCATGACCTGGATAAACTGTAGACTTCGCAGTCTGAAGCGAGTAATCTGCCCGGTATAAGATATTCTTGAGCGAATCGAAGTTGTTCCACTGCTTAGCTTCTTTCTTTACCGACTCCTTTAGCTTGTCTAGATGGTTGCGTATCTTGGAGCCATTTATCGGAATTTTACTTTCCATATTGGCGAAAGCGGTTCTTAGCAAGTTTGGAGGAGAGTCTAGGTGCCCAGTCGGTTTGAAAACTTTGTCTTGCATTGCCTTGCCGAAGTCCCATTGAACCACGCCGGAATACTCCCCCACGGGTACGCTGACGACAACATCGCCGAGACAAACGTGTGGTGGAACGCCGGCGCCGATGCCGACCATTAGAGCAAATTTTACGGACGGGAAGCTGGAGATCAGCCAGGTCGCAGTGGTCGCCGAGGCGTTATTACCTACAGTGCCCTTGGGCAGGCAAGCTATGACTACGTTGTGCTGGCCAACGGATCCGAGATTGTACATGTTGGGATCATTCTCCCGCTTTGGAAGATCGGCATGTTTCTCATCCAGCATGAGCAGAGCGGCGGTCTGCTCCTTTGGCAAGGCGCACACCCAGCCCACGGTATAGCTGCCCTTGGGATGGCGACGCGGGGGAGTCATCGGCGAAAAGATACTATGGCTGGCTTCTGGCGTGCGGTGCTCGGGAGGGAGACGGACCGTACTAGGAGTCAAGCGGCAAACGGATTCGCAGCGGGAGTTCCTTTTGGTGTGTCGCCGAGGCGGAAAAATGCGCAAAGACAGGATCTCTGAAAAGACTAGGAGAGTCGAATTCGACTAGGACGGACTGGCTGAAGCTCGACCGGTAAAGGAAGGCGGAGAAGGGAAAGAGTCGGGCAGAAGGTGTGGCAGACAAAGCAGCTGTCTGTACTCGGTATGCTGCAGCCAGTGCAGCCAGTGCAGCCGCAGCTCATGTTCGTAGATTCCCAACTTGAAAGAGCCAATAGTGGCTGCAGAGTTAGAGGCAAATAGTCTATCTTCGGCAAGAGGACCTGTCAGTTTGACGTGCACCACTTTCGCCTCTTCCAGCTTCCCACTTGCGGGAGTGGGTGTGGGTGGGTGTGAAAGACAGCGGCACGGGACGCCGCTTTGACGGTGCGAATGGTGTATCGAGGCAACGATTTCAACTGGCTCGGTCCGACCGGGCAGAGATATTTGATCAGTACGCCTACGCCCCAGAATCGTGGAGCGTGGAGAATGGCGTGTCTTGTGTTGCCGCATCTCCCGCATCTCCCGACATTCATAGCGTGGCGTGGCGTGGCTGGTGGGTTTCTCTCTTGAGTCGAGTCACGACCTGAATGCAGCGCACGTATCGTGTACGGGTACCGTATAAATTGGTGAGAGTGGGTTTGAATCTAACCGAAAACAGCTGGCGGTGTAAAGCCTAAAGTGCACTGAAGTTATATTTTGCTTGGCAGAAACAACGTTTCCGCTCGCTTGATTAAGTTAGATCCAAACCCACTCTCCCCAATTTATACGGTAATCTCACCCGCGCCGACAGCTAGCCTATGGTGCCCATCATGTCGCCGCATCAAAAGCGACTTTTCCCGTTACTCTGTGTGCACAAGTCTTGTCCTTTAACCTGTGCGCATTCCAAGGCCTAATCATTCAGACGCCATCCACACCTGCGGTGAGAGTGAAGTGGCGCGATATCCCATTCGCCATCCCGAATTGGAGGGCCATGACGAACTCCACGCCCACAATTGCCTGGATCTGTCTCGCTGCAATCCAGGTAGAGGCAGCAGCGGCCCTATTGGAAGATGCCCGTCAAGATACCTCGCCGCCGCAGCCTGATAACCTCAAAGTTTATGTCGGCACGATTGGGCTTGCCCATGTCGTCGTCTTTCATACTCTGACTTCGCTTTCGATAGCAGATGTCGAGACCCGAGTAGAGACCATAACGCCGCACCTCCAGACACTTCAGGCTGTCGTCATCACTGGTCGTATAGCTCAGCAGTCGCCGGATGCCTGTCCCGGGGACTTATTTATCAGTCCATCCTCACAAGTCGCCAACGGTCCTGATGCCTCGGCCAGAAAAGACTTGGTGCAGTGCGCTCTCCGTGTGCTCCATGGAGAGACTGGAGATGATGGATCTTGGCTCTCAACGAACCATCCACAAAGCGAGTCTCCTGCCTCCGTCATCGGCGAACGAGACACTGCGAACTCTCCGCGTCTTCATTACCTTCAAGATTTCGACCAGGTGAAGAGATTTAGGGTGTTGGATGAAGCAGGCCTGAGTGAGTGAACATTCCATAGGTATCACCTTCGTTCTGAAGTCACCTAATATAGACTGGACAATAGGGTTCTGGGACAACAAATCCCCCACGGTTGTTGTACTCGGGATTGATGATGTGGAGTCGTCAGGGCGTGACCTCCTGGTGCCGAACGCTGCCTTGAATACGGCGTCATATGCGAAAGAACTTATCCAGCTCATGGCTGATCCATCAGTCAGGGAGATTCCGACTCTGGAAGGGACAGAGAAAGTCGTCCCCGCTCCGCCAGCTCCACAGCTACCTCCATTTCCCCTACACCAGTATCCCACACATGGCAACGAAGTTCTGCTGGTAATCCCAACCGAAAACGACAGCAAGAAAGCGATCATCCGGGAATGTATAGGAGAGCGAAACCCTACCGGTCTGAAAGTTCACACCATCACCGTGCCTGTGGAATCGAACGCAGGCGAGCAGCCCTATAACAAGGCCGGCGCCCTAGGGGCGTATCACCGCGTCAGTAACGCCCTTGCTAGACTGCACGGCGCAGAGTTCGCAGCCGTTTTTGCACAGAACAGAATAGGAACCGTCATGGCCGTGTCCATCGAGAACTACATCCAGACGCAGGACGTTGACCGCCCGGCCGACTTCGCCATCGGGGTTGTTCATAACGCCACGACCAACAGGACCGGCGCGTGCGCGTCCAGGGGCGTGACGCTTCCGCCCGAGTACGTCCGCCGGGCTCGACGGTTCGGCAATGATGGAGATGAAGACCACGGCAAGATCACCGTCGGCCAGGTCCTGGCGGCGCGTGTGCCGGGACTGGATAAAGCTAACTGGCACGCGGTGCTCGCTGGATGCTCAAGGTATGATCTCTTGAAGGAGGCTCTTAGGGGGATGCCTATCCCGTGGTAGATCCACGGTTCTATCTGGTGTAGAATATTATTTACTCTCGCAAATACGCATGTAGAGATAAAACCGGGTGGGTGAGAAATGAGAATTTCAAATTATAGGACCTTTTCCTCCTATGAAAAGAACTCGAAGAAGGAAAGGGTTTTTAGACTAGCATCATCAATATGACTCTCGACCTGTCGGTGTATACCCCCTAGACCATTGAGTTATTGTGTAGAATACGACTTCGGATTTTCCTGTACGATCCTCCCCAATACCACCAAACTGCGAGCACCACCACCGTCACAGGAACCACAACGGCCCAATATAACCAGAACTTACTTGAAATGGTCCACCCGTCCTTGTCGAAGCTAAAGAAGGCAGTGTTGAACAATACCTAAAAAGTGGTTAGCGATGCAAATCCCGAGTCGTAGTTGCCAGCCAGAGCGCGCCAACCGATATGAAAGTAGCTGGCAGGAAGATCATTGTCAGGAGGGTGATCGATTTCATGATTGAATTATCCGAGCTGGCCAGCATGTTGTGTGCCTTCATGGGCTCGTTAGCAATCTTGAACGCGCGTTTGATTCGGCATTGGGAACGTAAATACCAGAGTGATTTCTGATTCAAGTCGACGCTCAGCGGCCACTGCTCGCGCCTTCATGCTACTCATCAGCTGGATCTGAAACGACAAATACTCCTGCGCCTGGATCTGATATTTCTGGCTGAGTTCCGTGGACAGTCTGAAATTCGTTTCCTGCCTCCTGGCCAAGCTTGCTAGTGTGTCGATGGCGACTTCCTCAACTTCCACAAGGTGAACAACGTGCCTGTATAACTCCTGCAGGTCTCCAAACCCCGGCTTCTTGTTGTACCTTTCCTATGAAGAGTCAGCTTGCACTTACTAGGAGCCATGATGAGTGTCAACATGGCGGCACATTGCGAATCCTCTTACCTTCTCTATGTCGCGCACAGCGTTTGTCGCTCGCCAGGTATACAGGTCACAGGCCTTTATCACCTCATCAAATAGGGGGCGAAGCAAGGCAAAAGGGTCTCGGAGCTGAAGCTCGGGCGATGCTTCGAGAACTTCTGTGAGCTGTTCACGAACCTCTTTCGGGGTGCCGATGCACAGCACCTTGGACTCCGGATAACTCCAGCTCGTAAAGAAACCCATCTCATACCACTCATAACCCTTTACGTCGTTCTCCTTAGGCGCCGAGTCTTTCTTTTTGTGCCATGGAAAGTATGTGCCTGTGGGTACTTGCGTGTTTGCCTTTATCTTGTCAGACTTTTCCTTTATCTCCTTATCCGTCAAGACTTTCTTGGTGAGCCATCGAAACCAGGTACCTGTGGATGCGTGTGAAGCGTCAATATGCTATCTAAGTTCTACTTGGCTGACTGATGGGGTGGGTGAGGTCTTACTGAGATGTTCAAGCTTTCCGTCGGAGCTTAGCGAGCTGTTGCTGCCGAAATAGCCGTTCAGCAGGACACACAGGTTGTCACTGAGCAAGTCTGGGGAGCCAAATGGCTTCAGAATCTTGAGGCGATCTTCTTTTAAGCACTTTTTGCTGCCGAACCAATCCGCATCTTCCAGAAAACTAAAGAAAAACAGTTTAGTTACATGACCGGGAAAGCTCATTGTTTATTCTTACATATAGCACCACACTTCCGGAGGGGTTCCCTCGAGAAGATCACGTTCGCTGGACTTCCAGGTCTTTGTGGCCGCTGGAAGAACGTCAATATTTGATGTTCGAGTTTTACGATTCTCAATGCCTACCGTCATAGGCCAGTACTTTTGCAGGAGCTTTTGTTGCAGTAGCCGGTCTAACGGCCATGGCGAGCTTCTGGGGCAAGGACTTTCTGAGATTAATTTCGTTGCTGAAATGGCCTCAACGGTGTCGGATGTATCAAATCAACGAGGAGCCAAGAATAGTTTCACGTCATTCCTCTGCCTAACGGACACTAAGAAAGTAGGAATTGTTGCTAACACTCGGGGTCGGAAGCTGGCATTTATGTGTGACGCAGCGATCATTTGTGAAGTGAGGCTTGCTCAGTAGGAGAGACAAACCTTCTGCGCAACAATCAGTCACGCGTGCTATCGGCCATCCCTTGTGCGGGGGATATATTAGCTTCTTGCTGCATAAGCTCAGTAGTGCAACTTATTTGTCCAGGGATGACGCTGTATTGCAGATAGCGACTTGCAGGAGGCTTGCGCAGTGCAACGTGGTGCGGTATTTTTCGACTCGTTCAACGCGCTGTTACCTTCGACGTTCTACCTCCGTACGGTGCTCCATTCAATTTCTCGGACCAAAGTTGGCCCGATCGCTTTTCCCCACACTCAACACAACACCCCAATTACAGTATTACTCCAGCATGAGAAGTAAGGCTGGTGGGGCCATACAGGGCTCGTGCGAGATTTTGAGCTTCTCTATTTTTTGGAACTTGGCACGACGGGAGTGGCAACTCGGTACAGGATTGGACGCGTGGGCTTGTAGAACCTTCTAGAAGAACGCCATATCACGCCACGCTTTACATGACATATAAAAAGATTTAGGATAAAATACGACTCACGTGGCTGTAAATATAATATTAGGTAAGGGCGATAAATCCTTCCTCGCTTATTAAGATGCGGTATTTTGTGTACCTCTTACCTTTATCCGGATAAACCCGGTAAGCAGGTTTCCTTATACTCTATGTCTTCAAACTTTGAAGCTGTATTTAATCATAATAGAAGCTCTATACTACGGCCCCGAATTCCGAGGACAAGTTAATCGTTATAATAGAATAGGGGGTAATAGCTATAGTAGCTTTTAACGCTCTTAATAGGACTATAGCGGGTTGAGACCCGATTCTATACTTGGCCTAAGGCCTTCGCCCCCTCCAGTTGCCAGGGCAATAACACGTGAGAGAGGGAGCTTAGACAGCTCTTAGGAATACGTTTTCTTTTCTTTTCTTTTCTTTTCTCTTTAGAGAATTCTTACCTAGTCAAATACGCACTATAGTTCCTTTATATAAAGACTTGGCCCGTAATACTTACGCTTAGTTTATAGAATATCTCTCTTAATAGCAAAAGAGAGTTCTATCTATATACTTCTACTATTAAGCTCTTATTACCCTTAATACTTATAAAAAGTTCATATCTAAGCTTTAGGACGTTTCTACTAGCCCAGTAACTGTTATAAGCCTTGTGGCTGTTGTAGTATCGAGATCTTTACAAAATCGCTACGCAGATCGGTACCTCGGATCAAAGCGAGTAACGATTTTGGTTAACTTAGGGCCTGTTTCGCAACCCTTGAATATTCGGATACTGCCGATATCGTAATGCTAGTATTCAGATATTACAAAAATAAGTATTTCGCATTTTTTTGGATACTAGAGTTGAACGCTGGTATTTAAATACCAGTATCTGCCCCCATACTAATCCCAGTATTTTCAGAACGACCTCTAGTAGGTCAATCTGAAAATACTGGGAGTTGAACGCACGGCCTTAGGCCACCATATGCACTCCAAATGCCCTAATTTACAGTACACCCGCATTTAATAATTATCAATTCCTTCCTTTACTGCAACTATATTATTCTGGGACCAGTTTGATAATGACTCCAGGGCATAAATTCTCTCTAAAGCTTTATATTTTGCGATTCTCGTAGAATAAATCTCGGATTAATTTATTTAGTAGTAAGTAATATAAGATGTAATTATTTTATTAATTACTTTTCCATTTAATAATAAAATAAATCCAGGCTTCAAGACGCTATAATTATAGGGAGTAATCGCTAATTATTAGGGAAGGAGAAGTGGGAGATTAGTGAGGCTGAAAATAGAGGCTGAAAACGCTAGCGGAGATGAAGCTGAAACCTCTGTAATTACAATAGATACTGAGTATCTACGGTTTGAGAAACGGGTCTAAATTGTACCGATACCAGCGTTCAATATCGAGCGTTGAACGCTAGAGTTCGATGTTACTAATATCCGGTATCCAACTTACGTGAGTCCGTTCGAAACAGGCCCTTAGTACGAAACGACTCCCACACAGGCCTCTTTGTATGGCTGATTTGGGATATGGCTGGTACAAGGTCTGCGATCACGTGAATCCTAGCCGCTGGCTCATATAACAAACCGTGTTGATTTTTTGGTTGGACCCGAGGTTCAACCGAGTAGGCCCTGCCTTGGGGCAAGTCGTCACGTTCATCAGTCGGTCAAGCTGCGCAGTTGAAGCAGGGCGGCTGAGGTGTTAGGCATGACAAATCGCGCGGAGTAATCGTACATAGAAGGAATCACATACGTACCAGCATCCCCTCTAATCAGCTCCATAGCAACTGTCCCCAGAAAGTCAAGGATGGAGATTAGAGGGAAGAATGGTGGTTCTATTCAGTAAGGCGAAGCCCGGCTATATATACCCAGCTTAGTAATCCATATTGAGGACTCCCTCTCTGAAAACCGGATACCCCGTCCGTCCTTCTATATCCTATTTTCTAATACTATCGACTCCCGATTCCCGTATCCCAGATAGTAGGCCCTGGCCCTTATACAAGGCTCTTCCAAGATCTGTCCGGAGAATATATAGAAATAAAGAAACTACTATAAATAGTATATAAATAATTAATAGCTAACCTCCAGCTATAATACCTCCCTAATCTGTAATATACAAAATATAATTATCTTTCTATAATACCTGTTCCGTATTAAAAAAGAATATAAATCTTTATAAGAGAATAATAACTATTCCAGGTATATATTTAAATATTCTCGGTAATATTATAGTACTTATCCTCCTGTTCTTTATTAGCTATCTTTTCCTCTAATTAACTAGGCAAGTTCTTCTAATTATATTATTAACCCGGGTTCTTTTCTTTCTTATATTCTCTTTTTAGAGGTTCTTTTTTTAATTTTTAATTTTAATTTTAATTTTATCTTTATTTTTATTAGTATCTTTCTTCTTAGTATTATTTTTAATACTATATATATCTATATTATTAATATTCTTAAGGTTCTTTAAATTCTCTTTAATTATAATAATACTAGCTATTTCTTAAAAAAATAAACCGAATTCGTTTAGGGGCTACTTTAATTAATTACTTATAACTAGCTAATTATTACTTATAATAGTATTATATATTAAGCTATTAGTTAATAATTTTATCCTACTACTCCCGTTTATTTATATTCCTAAGTAAGGCTTCTATTTTCTAGTAAAACTTAAAGTTCTTCTTATTAATCTTTCTATTTTTAATAAGTATTAAGACTAAGGAAATTCTAGTTATATAAACTAAATATAATTAGTTTAAATACTTACTAAATATGGATCCTATATTCTTAAAGGCTATAACTTCTTATTAGTAGTTATTTGCGAATTACTAGAATATATAAAGAAACTTACTTTATTATTTATAAATAGTTTCTAATATATTTTGAATTCTTTAGTCTTTCTATTATAATTTCTTGATTTTAGTCTAAAGTTTCTTGATTTCCTTATTCTTTATCTTTTCTCTCTAATATATTATAGCAAGCGGTAGGTTTTTAGAAAAAAGTCTAGATATATACTTAAATACTAGTATTATTCCTATTTAGGTATTCTTTATTTTTACTTTCTATTTCTTGCTTTTCTATTCTTTCCCAAGCTAGGAATTAGAAGCAAGAGACAGGGTTACGGCTCTAGTCTTACAAATAAATAATATTAATTTAATTATCTGAGAATAGCTTCTTTTATTAGAAAAGGCTAAGTTTAAGCTATTTATAAAAGAGGCTAATAAAAGAAGCCGAGATTAGAATAAGGAATTCTTATTAGAAAACTTAATCTTTTTTAGAGCAGATATAGAATACAGAAAAGTAAAGTATTAACTAAGAACTAAAGTATTTATTAAGGGAATAGTTCTAAAAAAGGCTTATTATTAGCCTTATTAGAAAAAGGGAATTATTCCTAAAAAAGGCTAAAGAATCTAAGATTATAAATATATTATACTAAGTTAATTTACTAGCTAGATTTATTTATTCTATAAACGGATTTTTAATAGTATTCTTTAATTTCCGGAATCTTTTTTTTTCTAAATATATAGCTATTCCGGGATAAATAAGGCTAGAACTGAAATAGTATAGGAATACTAGTATAAGGCATTCGAGAATACTATTTCATTTCTTCTAAAACCCTCTTTTATTATAAATAAATAAGTATTATTACTAATATTTATTATTAGATCTAGTTATATAAAATAACTTGAAATATTTTCCGAATTTATAAAAATATATAAATTAAGTAAAGAATTAAAAATATAGCTACTAAAAACATATTTTTAATATTAAATAATATTATTATTTAAATTAAGAACTAGTAATTTATAGATTAATTATTTTTAGAAAATATAGCCGGATATATAATAATCTGTATTTATTATTAGAATATATTTTATTTAACTTATTTTAAGATATAGCTAGGCTTATATATCCTAATATAAGTAGTATATTATATATAATAGTTTATTCTTATTAGTAAGAAAACTAATTAAATTATATATAAGCCTCTTTTCTATCCGGGTTACCGGATTACTATTTCTATTTACTAGAAACTAATAAATTATCTAGATATAGATATTTTATTAGATAATTCTAGCTTTATTATTAATAGCCTTTATAGCCTTTCTTTAATTCTTAATTAGAATAACTAAATAAGGTATTTTGAATTATTTTATTTTTAGAAATAAAGTATTATATTATTATATTATAAATTAAATACTAGTATTTATTATTAAATTAAAGTAATTCTAAGAAATTAAAGATATAATAAAATAATAAATACGAATAATAATATAATAATTATATTTTCTAAATATAATTTATAAATAGCTATCTAGTTATAAATAGACTATTATATAAAAATAATATAATTAGTATAAATAAAAGAAAAGATAAGTTCTAAGAAAATAAAAAGTTAAGGAAATATAATTAAAATAATCTTAATATAAATAGGTATCTTGAAACTAAAATACTTCTAATAATTTCCTAACTTTCTAAATATATAAGTATTTAACTCTAGATAATAAATAGATCTAGAAGGCTATTTTTATTATTAGAACTTATAATTATATCTAGTATAAAATTATTAAGAAATTAATAAGTTAGTATAATTAAGAAATAAGATATTATTTTTGGAAGGTTATATTTGAAAATAAGAAGTTAGAAAAATAAATAAATTAATATTAAGTATATAAAA